ATCACGGTTTGATCCCCAAATGGAAGAATCTCCAAATCCTTCTTCAATGAGCATGCTTCAAGTATGTTCTCATACTTTTCAATGTCCATTTCCTTACCAAATAGTATAGTGTCTTGAATCTTTCCACTTTGTATCCAAGGTGATTGGGCAACATAAGCTGTAGTCCCACACAACTTGATGGTTCCAGATAATTTTGGGACTTCACCTAATATGCACGATAACAAGCTTGATTTGCCGGAACCAACAGTACCACAAACGGCAACTCTTGTACCATGCAATGCTTTGAAATTCAAATCTCTCAATGTAGGAATTTCTGAAGATGGGTCCCAAGAGAAATTCCCATTGCTTACTTCGACCGCTGCCTCCGAGTTACCCCGTGGAAGCTTTTGCACCACATCAGTAGGCAAATCCTCTAGGCAAAGGAATGAAGATATTCTATCAAGGGAAACCTTTGTTTGAATCACCATTGAAATAGTATCGGGAAGATTATATATTGGCTCCTGCAACACCCTAAAAGTTGCAAGTGCGGAAAGAACCTTCCCCGATTCTAGCGGAATTCCCATAATCATACAAGCTCCGAATGTGACCACAGCAACGAAAGTAGGAGCACCCCAAAATGTAAATGTTATCATAGCCAATGTGTATACATACTTTCTCAACCAAGAAGCCTCTTCCTTTCTTAACTCGAATATCTTGGACAAGAACTTCATTTCCCAAGCTTGAAGCTTGAGAATCCTCATGTTTTTTAGGATCTCCGAAGTAGTCTTCATCCTTATATCTTTTGCCTCCATCAATTTCTTTTGGTACCTCTCTTGTATACTCCCCAAGGGAAAATTGGCTAACATAACCGCTATTGTTGCCGCTAAAGCAGCCAATGAAGCAAGGCCCAAACTAGAGTACAATATGGCTAGAGCTAGGCCAACTTGAATAGGGACCATCCAAAGATCATGCATGTACCAACTAAAGAGCCCAATTCTATCGGCGTCAACACTCATTAAATTGATGATCTCTCCGCTGGTATGACCTTGCTTCGAATGGCTAGACAAAGTTAGACCCTTTTGATAAATCATCGCAACAAGGGATGACCTTACTCTGATCCCAGCTTGTTGTAATCTAAAGAACCAGTGTCTCTGTGACAAGCACTCAAACAGCTTTGCTACTATGAAGGCTACCACTAAAATATACCCTTCACTCGCAAACATTCTAGTGCCATTAAGGTACTGAACAAAGAAAGCGATGAGGTAGGGACCGACATATGTAGCTATTGTGTACACAAGTGCATAGATAGCTGTTGACATTACTTGGTCCCATGTCGAAAACACTAATGCCTTAGCCAATTTATACGTGGAAATCCTACAAGCAGAACTCTCATCATTGCCACTCCTACAATCACTGCCCGTGTATGATTCAAGCTTATTTTTAAACACAGGGTAGACACCATTGACACTATCACTCTGAGCTAGTTGAGGAACATCTTCAAGGTCTAATGTCTTTTGGTGACCAACAGAGAGCAAAGGACCCATCCAAGAGAAAGTGAGCAGACTAAAAAATCCAGCATTCTCAAAGATAGACTCACTTCCATTGTCATTCCTATTACAGGACTCATCAAAATTACCCCCATTCAATAGACGGTCATGAAGATTAGCCTTCTCTTCTTCGCTCCTTTTCCCGAAAATCCCCGCACAATTAATAATCACACCACCAACAAGAGACCCAAAATCAATTACCCACAAATTGGTAGTCATAATCCCAAGCTTCCTGTACCAAATCCAATCTACTACAAGGAAAGAGAAAGATATAGCCAAGAATAAACCCCACCAAATGCTAAGAAAGGTGGGATATTTATCAACAAATCGCAAATAGCATGAGATGGCTACCCAAACAAAGACTCTAACGACCAAATCCAAAAAGGTAACAATGTTCTCATCAGACCAAAACCCATGAACATGCCAAATATAGAAATGAAGAGAGAGAACCAAATAGAACAAACCCAAACCCAGGGAGCTGAAAAGGGTTGTTTTGTAATAGAAGAATCTGTTTATTTCCAATCTTTCCTTTGTGGGTCTCTTGCAGAGATAGAAGAGAGAGAGTAGGAAAAAGATAAAGAGGTGGAATGAAACAGAGAAGCCATGAAGAATGATGGGTTTCAATGGGAACCCATTATCATTTGCATGAATTTGAATTGAAAAAGGATGGGGGATTTGCATACCAGAGGACATTGATGATGAGCCTCGGAGAAAACCCATCAATGAGGCCTCTGTAAATTGCGAAAGTTTATTATATTTCTCCTCTTTCTTTATTGGAGAGAAGAGAGGAGCGATTTGTATATATATGGAGAGGGATTTGTTTGCACGTAGAGAGACAGACTGAGGTTGTTATCGTGGAATTTTGTATTATATTTCTTGATTGGAGAGAAGAGAGGAGAGATTTGTGTATATAGAGAGAGAGAGCGACCGAGGGTGTGAGTGTGTGGTGAGGAATTTATAGAAGGGAGTCAAAGGCGGCTCCTTGGAGACCAAGGAAGAGTGACTCTTGGAACAGAGGATCATCAAAATAAAAAAGTAGTTTTTTCATAAGTGTGGAAGACTTTTCTCATGGGTCCAATTTTGGGGTGTGCACGTGGGCCCGGTCCGAACCCGGCCCGGACTCAGGATAGGCTCGGAAAA